CAGGGCTGACATGCCTGTGTCACAGTAGAATACACAACAAATATCTTGCTGCTATTAGGAATTGTCCAACTGGTACAGATCAGTAAATTTTTACAGCACCCACAGAACTGGAAAATCTAGTCTGCTACATCTTCTCCATATAAGACTTACGGGTAGGAAGAGGAGAAAAGAATTTGTATTTTTAGATAAATATCAAATAATTCTACAAGAATATGACATACTGTATAATTTTCAAAATCTCAACAACAGTAGAGATCAGGAGTAAGAAAATTATTATTGTTTTAATTTCAACTAAATTACCAGTTGTGGCCCATATTTCATCTACTTCAATTTTTCCAGATTTTCAAGTACAGATGTTTAAATTCTATTAACTTAGGGAGCTCATGAATATACCATTTCTGTCCTCTCGTCTATGTCACTTTCTTCGCTTTTTATTTCTTCATCTGTTCCTTCATCACTGTCATCAGAAGAAGAACTACTTATAGCTGCATAAAAGAGATTTCACATATTTATTTCACATGATTACATTGCAGAGGTTACGACCAAACAATTTCAGGTCTCAATGCAAGAAAAAAAAAAAGAACATAACACCAAGCCACCAAAAAACCACAACTAGCTTGTTATATTTAATGAGGATGAATAATTCTAATTGAATTAAACACACAAGTATTATTTACAGCATGCTATAAATGTCTTAACTATGTAAGATGAGTTTATAGGAAGTATTCTTGTATCCTCTCTAAGAACGCTCACTTTTAAAGCCTTCCTAGATTTCTGAACACCCAGGTACCTCTTCAATTTTCATTAGACTTTAATTCTGAACAGGGGATTAACATATTAATCATTCAATCAAAAGTAGTGTAGTGATAGTTTCCAGAACATCAGTTAAGTGCCAGTGTTCCTGTTGGCTTTCTAGTTACAAAGAAAACTACAGGAAATTAAAGATCTGTCTTGAAAGTGAAAATCAGCCAGTCAGCTGATGAGAAACAGACCTTTGTGCCAGGTAGACTAGGGAAAAAAATAATCTTATTGCCTCCTTCTTTATATAACTGCCTCTATGTATTCCACACAGCACTATGATACTCTCACATCATCCTAATAGGAAGTTACAGCATGCTCTGCTCTCCCAGGTCAAGAAGTTAAAGGCATCCCACTAGTTACTAAAGGATGAAAACGAGCTCACAGTTTTCACTGCTCTCATCATTTTCTTCAGCAGGAAGGCTTTTTAACACAGAGTCAACACCAGGCAACCTGCAACGTCTCTTCTTTCTTCCCTTTCTTCTCCTACAGAACATAAAATGGTTCACTGAAATTTGGCTAATATTCAGTTTGTTTACCCTAGCTATTTCAACTATATGCAAATGCACAGGAAATGTATGTTTGAGTTATTTTTATTAAATAATGCTGAAATAATTTGGGCAGTGCTTATTTGAGAGAGGACACCTTAATATCTGCACAGTACCTCATATTCATATTCTCAAGTAGATCCTCAAGACATGGTCAACCAATATTAGATTATTGCTTTTGATTGAAAAAAACTTCAGGTTTTCCTAAGTTATTTTGCAAGTACATTTTGCACAATAGTTAAGAATAACACAGTTATTAGTGTTAGTCTTTTAGAGTTGTGCTTAAGAACAATACATAGGTATCTACCTGAATATGAGAAGAATGCTCTGACTGTACTAAGTACATATCTACCATCTACAGCATGACCTAAGGCCAAGCTCACTTGTAGACTTGTATCCGTGTGAATCTGAAAATGAATCTCTCAATTCATTCTGAGGCCAAAAGGATTTCTTACATGCGAGCCACAGCCTTCCGAGCCAATTTACGCTGTAATCTGCGGTTTTCGTCTGTGTCACGAAGAACATGATCTTCAGCTGCCCATCTATCCCAGCTAAGTCGAAAGAAAATTAACAATTACTATGAATATATGTTACTCATGATTATTAATGAATTAATATACCTTAAATTTACAAAGCACTCTTTTAATGTCATTCAGAAGCAACATCTGTATCACAAGGTTTGCATTCTTCTGCATTCATGTGGTTTCAACTCTCATGTTGCTGTCTAAAACCTCTCAAGCTTTGACTTCACATGCAAGAGCATTTGTAACAGATCACAGTCAGACACTGCACTCATGTATTGGCCTTGAAAACCAAACAATCCAGGTCTAGATTTAACAAAGCATAAACTTTTATTAATGGAAACCTAGGAGCCACAAGTATATGTCGCAGACAGATATCCCATGAAGTTTAAACTCATGGCTATCAAACTGATGCACTGAAATTTATGGATACAGATCAATATGTCAACATGAGCAAGTATACTAAAGGCATTTACAAAACCAAAAATACTCCTGAAAACATTAGTCCTTTGATATTCAGTGCAAAGACAGGTGCCTGTCTTTACAGAATAAAATAGAAGAAATGGAAACACTGAAACAAGACATACAGTTTCCTACCTTCTATTCCAACCATTAAAATGAATCAGATATTCTGGAATCTTTCTGCCTTTCTCATCTTTTCCAACAACAATATCAACAATCTGAAACAAATATTGAATAGTATGTATTAAAAAGTGTGAGAGAAAAGACTTCCAGTATTTTAGAGAGTTTATGCACAAAAAAGAAAATTAAATTAGACAGACTTATTTTGCCAGTTAACACTGACACGAGCAGAAGATAGGGATTATACTAAATTGTCAGAAAAACAAGCTATCTTGTTGAGTACTTTTAATGTTGGGGGCTGCTCACCATCTTTGTCCTGTCCTCAAACATCCCATGCTTTCAAGACAGAGAAAGAGCAATGTCAAACAATGCAGTAGCACAATATGGATATGAAGATTTGGGCTACTAATGTTTTCTCCTCTGTGCTATCTCAAGCCCCTAAAGCAGGAGAAAACACTTCTCTATACATAAACCACAGAAATGCTGCCCTGTTGAACATCACAGAATCTCAGCCACAAAACATTATAAGGTTTTGTGAATATCTGAGCCTTTGTTTTCTTTCTTGTTTCATGCATGTGAAATGGGCCAGTCTGAAAGAGCCTGCACCTCAGAAGGAAAAGATGGATCAGATGGATCATTAACAAAAGCATTGGTAATAGTAATAACAAAGGAATTGTGCTGCCTGCACTTGAGTGGCTCTCAATAGATCATGTATCAGCAGTTAGGTTACAGTGATGTTTTAATTTAAAATCATGTGTGATGTTTAATTTTGGAGTCCAGACTTTAAGAACTATGGATGGATTCAAGAACAGTTATGCTATTTAGGGGATTTGAAAGTAAAGAAGAAAAGGCACTACACAGTTTTGCACTCAGGATGCCTCTATGGATAGCAACTAAAGCTGTTGGGGTTGTCAGAACATAGGAATATGTGTACAAACAAAAGGGCAGCCCAAAATATTACAGGATGGTGGTGTTTCTAATCAAAGACGTTTGAGAAACACAGACCTACACAACTAGCAAACTTCCAGCAAAAACTATTGATTTGGTCAAGAATTCAGTTGCAGTACTTCCCTTTTCATCCGTTTAACAAACTAAACAAACAAACAAACCCCAAACAAACAAACACAAAACACAAAACAAAAACCTCTGTTTGCAAGTTGGGCACAGATGATTCAGGACTGCAAAATAATCCTGTATCTACATAAAGCTCTGTAATTACTATCACTACCCTTAAGGTCAGGTCTTACTGAATCAGTCACCTCCTACTCCAGCACTTACGATCCACCGCGCACCGCTGGCTATCCTATTTCCTTATACTCTCTGCACCAGCGGTGCCACTTAAACCCTTCTGAAAGGCAGAAGGGCAGCAAGCGTGGGAAAGCGGGAGGGGGAATAAATCTAGCTACACTACGAAACTGCGGGGATGAAAACAAGATTTCAGAATTACTTTGCAGGTGTTCAGCCGAGAACAGGAGGGAGGGAAGCGCTTCCGACACTCCCAGAAACCCTGGGCGGCTCCGCTGTCTACCTGTCGCGACAGCCAGGCCCCGAGGGCCCGGGCCCCGTCGCCTGTCAGCCGCCTCTGCTCCCCAGCGCTCTGGGAAAGGCCCAGAGGCTCCTACACGGCTGCTACACGCTCCCCTCACCCTCGGGGCTCCGAGTGCAGAGGGACAGAGCCGAGTCTCGCCAGGGGACCGGCCTGAGCCGCCCGCAGGGAGCGATGACGAGGGAGGAGAGGCCCGGCGGCGACGGCACCGCCTCGCTTCGCCTCTCTGCCCCGTGCCGGCGGGCGGACCCGCCCCGCGGCCTCTCCGCTTTCCCCACTCCCCGGGCCAGCGCCCGTTTCCCGCAACAAGTGCTGCTGCTGGCGGAGCCGCCTCCGAACGCCCGGCCGGGCCCGCAGCCACCTCCCTCCCGCGCCGCCTCCCCCTCCCCCCGGGAGCGCGCGCAGCGCCCGGCGGGAGCGGTAACGGGAGCGCGGGAGCCGTAACGGGAGCGGGCGGGCCGCGCGCCGGCCCCGCCCCGCGCGCCCGGGGACGAGGGGGACGGGCGGGAGGGGGACAGGGGCACGCGCGGCCGGTCACCTTGGCATCATAGAGCACTTTGGCTTTGGTGGGGTCGGGCTCGAAGCAGAGAACTCTCTCTCCCCGGTGGAACTTAAATTTCATTCCCCGCGAGGTCATTTGTTCATCATGGCGCAAAGGAGAAGAGCCCCGCCCGCTCCGGCGGGGAGGTGGCGCGGCCGGCGTGGCCCCGCCCCCGGCTCCTCCGGCGGGGGCGGGCGGGCGGGAGGGAGTGCTCCGGGTGCTGTGCCCTGCTTCCCCTGCCCTCCGCGGCGGAGCCGTGGTCGGTGTTGGCCACGGCGAGGATGAGGTGCCCGCCCGTGCCCACGCCGCTGGTTCCGCGAGGTGCGCGGCACGGGCAGCCGGGGCAGGCCGCGGGAGGGGCGGCGGCGGGGGGACGGGTCCCTCCGAGCGAGAGGGCGGCCGCCTGCCCTGGGCCCGGGGAGCCCGGGCAGGGGAGGTGAGAGCGCCCGGGCGCGGTTTTGCCGGCCGTGCTGGCGGTACCCCGGGAGCAGGGCCTAGCGCTGGGCCTGAGCCCCCTGCGGGGCCGGGTGCACCCCGAGGAGAACGGCTGTCCTCTCTGCTACTGCTGCCCCTCACCAGACATTCCCAGCCCTTACCCTGTTTCCCGCGTTCTCTGCTCAGCAAAGAACAGCCCCTACTCCCAAGTGAGCTATGTGTATATTGTAACCTCCTCCAAGGTTTATTTTCCTCTCCACTGTTCTTTCATTGTTCTTTCTTCAAGTAAATCATCATGGCTAGGCTTCGCAAACGAAGATTTGAGACGGGGTCTTCCTACGCTTGCTACAAGCGCGCTTATGGCTAAAATTTGATTTATCATTCCAATGTTCAGTTTCAGATTCCATGAGCGTGCAAATAGTGGAAATAAAAGCAATGCGCAGCTTTCTTGCCAGTGCACCGATGCTTGGAAGGGACTCAGCCAGGGCAACACTGCTGTTTCCCAGAGGATGTTAGTTATTAGATACTCTCTCAGGCTGTTACAGTTTTGATGCCAGTTCTGTGTTTCTGATTTACACGAGACTGCAACAGAGCTGAGAGGCCTAGGTTTAGCCAGCTTGGTAGAAAGACCAGTTAATTTGTGATTACTTAGCATTTTTGAAGTTGCCTTTCTGTAAAAGCTGTTCAGGAGATGGATTACTCTAAACAGAGAAAGGCAAGCATGCAATTGAGCATACAGTAGTCCAATGCTAAGGGGAAGAGAAGTTTAAATCATCTTTTTTTTTTTTTTTTTTTTTTTTTTTTCCAGTCACTGAGGCTGATAACAAGACTGGAAACTGGCAGGAATGCCTTGGGAAAGAACAGGGAGCTGCTAGAGTATTACCAGAAGGTTTCTGAAGGTAAAAAGTGAGAGGGATTGCCCAGAAAACAAGACTCTGAGAGGGTGAATACTCCCTGGGATAGGGTGGACCAAGTACTCAATTTCTTTTTATTCAAAACTTACATGTTTTTATAGTGGGAGTAATGGGAAAAACCTGCAAACTTACTGCTAAGACAGAGTCGTGTGAGAGAAACCAATTGATGGAAAAGAGTGAGAGAAAATTAAGAAAGTGTTCCTGAAATTGTTCAGAGCCCACTGCTGCTAAGGTTAACAAACAGGCTCCAAAAATGTGTGGATTCAATGTCAATTGCAGAAAGTGTCACTGAAATTCTCTTTTTTTTTTTTTTAAGATAAAGCAAATGTTGTTGGACACGGCTTTGAAGGGACTGCCATGCTTTAAAAAATGTGGGAAAACAACAACAAAACAAGGGAAGGAGAACTACCAACTTGTGCTTGTGTTCCTGCCTCCAACCTGGTCTTAAGAGACAAACAGCCTTACATATTTCCACACTGCCTCCTAGATTCCCCTCTTTCTTCCTCCCCACTGGTCTCCACTTGCCATTCGTCTCATCTCAGCCTCTCCTACTTTACCCCAGCCCCCTTTCATGACTCCCACCCAAGCTACTCCTCAAGCCTTTTGACTTAAATTTCTTATTTGAGTTTCCTAACACTTATATACAGCTCTCTACCATAGTATTTGAGATCCAGTTGTTCCCTGCCTACCCTCTCCCCACACTCAGATGGGTGCACATGAGCATCTGTCCTTATCTCCCTGAGACACCTGGCTGTAGATGATCCTTGCCAGCAGAGCCCTTGCCTTGCCAGATCTCCCAACAAAGCCCCTCCTCTGGCATGACTTTTAAAAACCTGTATGTGGGCTGTGCTTAAATAAGATCCACCCAGAGAGGAGAAACTGCTGGTATGTTTAAGAAAAACTCGCCCTGGGATATTGCTAACCAAGCAATGCCCACTTCTAGATAAAATGCAGAATGTGGAATTTTCAAAGGTACTGAGTTTTTCATAGTGAGGGCTGCCAAACAGCTGTGCAAAACTTAAAAAAAAAAAAAAAGGAAAAGAGGAAAGTGGTGTTTGTATGTACATGCAATGCCCATGATGAGTTGTACCTGCCCTGTATAGCACATAAACAAGTAGCAGATATATGAGATTTAGCAAAGCTTGAACTGCAGGTCCTCAATCGTATGCAGCAAGTGTGCTCCAAGGGGAAGTCATTCTGCTCCAGACAGTGGAGCAATATTGGGCGCAGTGTTTGGGACAAACATCCCAAGTGCCAAGGGGAAGGGGGTGAGTGGTGAGATATACCAGCAGTTGGGCTTGTTGAATACTGCTGAACTAGGAGATGAGCTGACCCACCATGTATTTTGAGGACATTCCCAGGACACTACGTTGCCTCCAGGAAATAAAAGCGCTTTTACAGCTCCTCTGGGAGACAGTGGCTTGGGAGAGGAGACCCCTGGCCTGCTGCCAAGCACCGTCTGGCAAAGGGCATCCAATGAGATCATGAGGGCTAATTCGGCTGCATGATGAACTATTTCGGCTGCCCGCCTCACTGCAGGCTCAAAGCACGCTCTGAGAGAGTTTTATTCAAGAAAGGGTTTTATTTCCAACAACGCAACCCCCGCCGTTCGCTGACGGGGAGCGACATGGCGGCGGCTCGCAAGGCCCGCTGGGAGCTGTAGTCCGGCGCGGGCCGGGGCCGCTCCCGCGTTCCGCAGGGAAGGGGGATCAAGGTCTCCCAAAGAGGAGGATTTCCTGCCTCGTCCCTTCCCGCGCAGCGCTCTGGGGAACACCGAGGATTAGGCTGTCCGGGTAAGAAGGGTACCCGCGCTGGCAGGCGGACCGGTGCCTGCCCACCGTCTGTTCTGTCCAGAGCTTTCACTGCCCCGGTGCGCGTAACCCCAGTTTTCCCCTGTCTGCTGTTACCAGGCATCTACTTATACACCTGCAGCCCAAAAAGAAAGGTGACAGCACCCTAAAGACATACCCAGTTAGTCCGGCAAGATGTAATATGCATACTGGGTTGGTTGCCGTTGCTTGCCCCCGCACTGATTTCCATGATTTTGGCTGGGGTCAGTGTTGGGGTGGCAGGTGTGTATTTACCTGGGCCACCTGAGCTGCTCCGGTGCTCAGCCCGCACACGCTGCAGGGGGAGGCACGTCAGCTGAGGGCAGCAGAGACAAGTGCTGCTTTTATGAACTACAGTGTTATTCTACTTCTAAATCCTGGTGAAACTTCAACTTATACGTGAGAGAGTAAGAGACTTTAAGTTATACTTAAATAATCTACATTTTTTTTTTAATCCCTGCAATTAGTTTTTCTTTAAAATCCCTCCTTCATTCTTTCAGGATGGAAAAGGTGAGCAGAAACTTTTCAGCATTCTGAGGGTATTTTGGCTTTAAGAGGCTCTCATCACATTGCCCAGATTGGAATCCCTTAAAAGTGTATAACTTGCTTCCTAAACTTTTATTCAACAGCCATCATCTGAACGTTCTCATGTATGCTTTGCTTGTTAGGAAACAAAATTATTTGTTTTGGCGTTGATCAGGGCAAGATGATACACTATTTCGGGCAGAGTGACATTCTTCTTTTTTCCCACTCATTTTTCACAAGTAATTATAACCAGTAGTTTTGATATTAGGATCATGGAAATTTTCCCATTAATATTATGGGACACTCAGAGGAAGCAGAGGACATCTACAGTGAGCGGAGGAGGAGGCAGTTAGAATCCAAGCACAGCTCATGAGAAAGAGACAATAATTGTTCAAAGAATATTGTACTGCATAACAATCCTGCTGGATTGCAGCACAGAGAACACAACTTCCATGTGTGTGGCTGCACATTTAATGAGGCAATAACCCAGTTGTTCTCTTTCTGAAGTTAATAAAGAATAGCCTGAAAACCAACATAATGCTATCCTTGATTTTTTGAGGTGATCCTCAAAAAGCTCAAAGCTCCTTTAATACAGAGAACATACTTCTTCAGTATCTTTGAACTATATATAGAGTTATATAGAAATAATAAACTATTTGCTTAATTTTATTAAGACAAACCGTGTTCATTTCAAATCTCCTAAAGTTAGTCCCTAGTGTTTACACTCATTTCTGCTGTTTACATTGGCTTCATAAACCTTCAGTATAAACAGAGAAAAAGAAGTAAGAATGTTTCCCATGAAACAGTTCAAGAAAATCCTGACATCACTTAAATAAAGCATACTTCCTGCTTCAACATAATTAAATTGTGCGATCTTAAAAATAAAAACAAAGAGAAGAAAAAACCCACCCCAATTTACTGTAAAGCTACAGAGATCTCTGGGATAAAAAAGGGCTACAGATGGGGAGATTATCATTACCTATAAAGAACGTTCCTCCTGATGTTCTTGTTCGGGTGTCTGTTTCAAACTCAGAGCTTTCAGCCAAAGCAATTTTGTTACTAGGGACAAAACTAACATTTGTTCAGCACAAGGAAAAAAAAAATAATCTTTACTTGTTCTAAGACCCTCAAGGATTTCAGCAGGCTAGTGGCCTTAGTGTCACAGATGTGCCTTCTGCCATCCCTGTGAAGGTAAAACCAGCTTCTTGCAACTGGGCTACATTTTTAACACCAAATTACATAAGTCAAGGACTGCTTTTTGGCCAAGTGCCAAGACTTGGCCTGATCCACTTTACAAAACAATTGTTTCCCTTCCACAGACCTAAGACACAACCATTAGTATGTTTGTGCTTTTTTTTGTTGGCTTCTTCTTGTCCTGAAAAAAAAAAAAAAAAGAGGCTTATTGGAGTGATGTTTTCATAGTATGAAGCTGAGAATATGAATGCTATGCCTTGGAGGATCTGAGGGTGGTCAGGAAAAGATGCTGGACATGGGAAGGGGAAAACAGGGAGGCTGATGTGGCATTTGCCTCGTGTGTGCTGCCTGCAGAATGGGCTGCACATGCACCACCTCCTGGTCTGGACTCTGTCTGGGACAGTGCCAGCTGACATGAGCCAAACCTTTTCCAGGACACACGCTTGCAGTTAAGCATAATGGGCAATTAGCAGCTTAAGCTCATTTCCAGACCCTGTTTTTTCTAATACTGTAGTCATAGCTTTAGAGTACTTCAGTCAAAAAACATTATACTTCATCTGACCAGTAGAGATGTCTTTAATTTTAGAAGGTCTCAGGCCAGGGTTCCTTGAAGAAGCTCAAGAAGTTTCTGCTGCTGGCTGTTTTCTCTCCCATCACTGCCAGTTGTCCTGGCACAGCTGTGTGCACAGCAAGGAGCCTGATGGGTTGAGTCTTTACAGTTGTAGCAAAAAGAACGAGTAACATATAGTAACAAATACTCTTAAAAAATAATCAAGACTTAAATAACTCCAGGTGTAGTTATTACAAAATACAAGTTATATTTGACTTCAGTGGTTTTGCCTTGGTTCCTGTCTTGTGAAGTAACAATAATACTTCAAGACAGCAGGGAACTAAAGCTAAAACTTTCACACCTTTCTGGTTTAAATGAACCGTATAGTAATCATGAAGTGTGAAGTGGTGCTGGCATCAAGGCATGAAGCCTGCAGGCATCCAGGCAGCAAGCTGTACAGTCCTCGAGCCTTCAGCTGTATTTGCAGTTTTATCTTCAGATTTGCACTTTGGTGGCCCGAGACTCTTTGGAGACTCTGGAGTCTGAACACACTTATCCTGAGAGAGGCTTGACTATGGTAGCAGAGTGGGATCAGTGAAGCTGCAGAAGTATTTGAGGGAGAAAAAAAGGGTTAAATATTCATAATCACAAGTAATTCAAAGGGTGTTCATTGAGGCTTTACAAATGCTCAACTCCATACACATTGAATAAATATAAAAAAAGTAGACAAAATTTTGCTGGTTTCCTACAGGGTCTGTCATCATTTTATGTTGCTATAGAGGGCAAAAGTTGTAAGGGGAAAAGTAGAAATAAGGTATTTATACATGCCACATATCGTGGAAATTAATTGTCTGGAGTAGAAAACATACTCTGGGCATTAGGGCTGTGCATAGTTTTCTTGGGAAAGAAATGGCTCTCTTGGAATGCAAACCTCCCTTATTCCTGGCCTTCGCACTGCAACATCGTAAATAATGCAGTAAGTTACTGACCCAGAGTCAGGAGCTTGGAAAGGAAAAAGCAAATACAAGCTCTATGGCTGCCTTGGTGGCTGAAGGAGTGCAGAGCAAGGCAGGGTGTGTAACAGGGCCTGTGCAGTTCTAGAGGGGAGGGAACTGGGGCTGCTGCAGGAGAGCTGGGTGGAGGGGTGTTTTGAGGCTGAGCCGAAGCAGCCAGTGCCAGAGAGCAGAGGGCACCCCCATGGCCCCAGTCTGAGGGCAAAGGAAGGCATTTTCTGGGGATGTGCAGCATGGCCGGGCTGTGCACCAGCACATCTCCTGGCTGTTGGAGAGGATTGCCAACGGTGTGAGGAACACAGCCTTAGGATTCAGCCTTTTCCATCCTGCAGTGCCCACAACACAGAACAGAGTTTTTTGGTTTCTTCTTCTTTGGAAAGCCTCTCGCTGGGTTTTGATGCTTGTATTGCTCTAAAGCCCCTTCTTGTTGCAGGTAGTCCCTTGATGTGGTCTGCAGAAAACTCCTTGAGTTCAGGCAGCTGCACAGGCTGAGGTGAAATCCTTTACTTTTGGGGGAGACCTTGGGATGCACACATGGCTCTTGTTTTTTTCTTTAATGTAACCTCTGTAACCCCAGCAGTCCTGGTCTTTTCCACACCCATTTCCTGTTTCAACATTTTTTACTCTTTTCCCTCTTTCATTGTATCATTTGTTGTCTCCTACAATCATGTGTTTTTTCTCAGTTTTTTTGCTCACCCATCTCCCATTTTTGTGGGGTGGGGAGAGATGAACTGACACTTTGTTTTTTTATAAAGAAATGGACTGAGAGCTCTACCTGGCATGGAAAATCAGTGACCAAATTTGCATCTGCTTTTTTACCTAAGCCTTTCTTTCATTCCTGTTCAATTTTCTAAGCAGGAAGCTTGAGAGAACTTCCTGGAAGCTTTCTAGTAGTGCTCAGGAAAAACTCTCGACAAAAGAAACTTCTACCCTGCCCATGCCCCAGCTCCTCATCTCCTCTTGTAGCCTTCAGCTCCCCACAACTCCTGCTCACTTGGATGGAGTTCACATTCCCATTAATATTCTTTGGATGTAGGGGTTTTTGCATGACTTGGAAAGGGAAGGTTGAGTACATGTGCAAGGTCAAGATTTTTCCTCATGTAGATGTGAGAGTATAAACTGGCAATTAATGAAAGTATGTGGTGGTTGATACAAAAACCTGACCCTGTGCTCTTACTCAAAGAGTCAGAAAAATAAATATTAAGTACAAGTAAGCAAATTGCACCTTCTCCTCTTTATCTACGCAGTTACCTTTTGCAAAGAAAGGCATGTCCTCATGCTGCCAAACATACTGCATATCTTCAGCTGAAGTGCTGGTACAGTAAAGTCTTTCTTTTCATATGTCCATTCTTTTGCTAAGCTCTATTTTTCGTGGTCATCTTATTCCAAAGTATAAAGAAAGGGAGAGACTTTTAAAAAAGAAATACCTGAGATAACAAGATACAATATGGTCTTTTGTTCTGTAAGGTCGCTCAGTCAACAGCTTCTGTTCCTCCCATTGCTTCTATACCTGTCAACTGAATGAGTCTGACAAAGCAAAGTTTAAAAAGTCAAAGTATAGACTGTCATTGAAATATGATTTAGCATTCTTGAAAGGTTTAGCAGTCTCTAGTGCAACAGGATGAGGATTATACAGCTTGTGGAAGATCAGTGTAAAAAGTTACCAAGGTAACCTGTGGAAGACACAAATAACAACACCTGCTATAATGAAGACATATTTCCTTGGAGCATTCTTGAAATCTGACATTACAAGAGCACTTCTGAATTATTTCTAAATGAACTGATGTAGCAAAATCCATATGAGGGAGCTTGTTTCTTAATCTACTTTTACTCTTTTCATTAATGGTGGAGATAAGGCCAGTTTTAAAGTTTTAAATTTACATTTTCATGTGTTTGTAATCTGTCCAGTAGTTTGATATTTTTCATGCTTTATTGGGCCTCTGTGCTTTTAAGTGATTTTTTCTTTACGTAATTCACAGAAGTTTTTTAGGCATCTCCTGAGTTATTTAGACCTTGAGCATAAATTTCCATACTTAAAACATTTTTGGGATATGTCTTTATTTTCTTTCTTGCTTGGATAATTCCAAAATTACTTTAACTTGCAACTTGGCGTGTCGTTACTTTGGAACAGAATGTCATTTTTTTGAGTGCTCAGAAGGAAAATTCTCTCTGAAATAGTGAAGTCCTCCGTGCTCTTCCCTGCAGAACATGTATTTGCAATCGAGTCCTTTAGTTTAGAGTGGCAGTCCATCCTTCATGGTAAATAACTATGAATGGCCTTTGCTGTCCTCAGGGTGAGTGTCTGACTGATAGCTTTTAGAAAAATAAGTATAGGAAGGGGTGCAGTTGTGTAAACAGTTGTGTGTCTTCTCACATTTTCTTCCTCTCTTCCTGAGCTGAGACAAATTATTGTAGTCAGACAATAGCCTGTCTACAATTATAAAATTAAGGATATTTGGCATGAGGTAGAGGTCAGAGGTGGGCTTATGAGTCAAGGACTAAGAGTGGTGAGCAGAAGATGGTGTGGGAAAGAATTTGTGGACCCAAATTGATCTCTGTAAATAATGCATTTGTGGCATGAAATCCCATCCTCTCAGTCCTTCCTTTGCTTTCAGGCTCTGAGTGATTTGGAAATCAGTTCAGAAATAGCATAGAAATTCTCCTTCCCTTCTACCCACCCAATCCATCTTAATTAATTTATAAGAAAGGCTACACAAACCAGTCTGAAAATGGAAATGGAAAAATAAAGCTTTTGTTTTCCCCACTCTCCCATTGCCAGAGATTTTCTCCCATTTCTTAGAATACCACCCAACATTCAATTCACAAAGTTATCCACAATGAGCTTCCTGCAGGCTTCTCTTAATATTGTTTCACTGTGTGTAAATACTACTGTGAAAAAAGCCTGAGTC